CGAGCGGCTACAAGGCCCCATTCCGAGCCCCCCCCTTGTTGAATTTCACGACCAATTTAATGTGGGGCCTTTCCACACCGAGAAGCGACAGAGGTTCGGCCGCCGGCGTCACCAGACCAAGCCCTGCTCGGTTTGCTGGGATACCAGACGAGGATAACTCCGTCGAACAGCACGTCACCGGCACCCACGCACCCATCCCGCAGCTGGAGGTGGGACAGTGGGGTTGCTCCTTGCTCCCCACTGCGCTGGCACCCAGGGACGCCGAGTCCGCGCCCGGGTTCGGAGAGCGAGGAAGGAGCAGAAAGGGCGAGCTGCGGCGGGCGGAGGACGCGCTCCCTGTACCCGTACCCATCCTCGGGACCACGCGCCGATCGCCGGGAGGAGCCGCAGTGACGCCGTAGGGAACCGTGGGGACGGCGAGCACACAACTTTCCTCTGAAAAAGCACGCCCCGAAGCGACCGATTTACGAAAGGCTCCCGCGGCGCCTTCGGAGCCGAAGGGAAGCGCTAACGCCGCGGCGGCCGGACGCCCCGCGCTGTGACGGACGTACTCAGAGACGAGACCCGGAGCTTTCCGACGAGACAGGTGTTTATTTCGTTCAAGCGCTAAGGATCGCCGTCGTCGTTTCGTATTATCAGAGCTGAGGTACCAGTGACACTTCCAACAGCGAAGGAACCTTTTTTTCCCCCTTATACAATTTCATCGACTACTTGTATCACGACGAGACGCGAGTCACGGCGTAGCTGCGCAATGCGCTGCACAAAAATCAAGCCAGAGTGGGGAGGAGAAAAGAAACAGAGCAGAAACCTTCACTGTTCACAAAATCATCATTAAAAAAATGTTCCCGTGGTTCTACCGGCCGCGTCGACGGAGCGAAATAAAATGGAAACCTGAAACCCAACAGACGGATGGGGTGAGGAATTACGGTGCCGAAACATAACCCAAAATTCAGACTGTGTGGTCCCTGCGCTCCCTTCGGAAGCGTCTTTTCTCCGGGAAAGCGGGATTAGGACAGGATTGAGTCCTGCGGTCGCGTTAAGCACTGAAAGGGCTCCTGAGCAGACCTCGGGGCCAGAAACACCGAACAAGCGACGCCTCATCCTTGCTCCCGCGCCAGCCCCAGAGCTCGCCGGC